AGGCCTTTTCTGTGGTGGTCTCTTTCTTACAGAACTGAGAGTTAATGTGGTGCAGTCGTTTGAGTAGTGAACAGGAATTTGCTAGATCCAGGTTCTTGAAACCCACACTCTCTAGTCCTCCTAATCACTTCATGGAAACTCACCTGGTGACTGTGGGCCAGCCATACGAATACTCTGTCCTATGTTGCATGGTTGTTATTAAGATAAAGTCAGGAGAGGATGTATGGATGTTGCTCATTGTATGAAAGGCAGGATAGAAAAATAATAAATAAATAAAATCAACACTAAAATATAGTATGATTTGGGCGTAGCTTCCTCTAGCAAAATTCCGAAGAAGTTCACTAAGGTAAGAAGTGGAATGTGCAATTGTGTTATACTCTGTAAAGCAATATGGAACCTTTTACTGCTTACAACAATGTACAGCTTACACCTTTGCAATGTTTAGAAACTGATCACAACAGACTACATCAACTAGCAGATGCTCCATCACTATTTTCTTTTAATTAGTTGAGCAGGGGCCTATAGGAAAAATAGTTTTGATTAGAAGACAGCAACAGACTACAGATACAATTGGTGATTATAGATTTTTGGTATTGGTATCTAGATTGGTTTCCTGGCTAAATAAAGACATTCTGCTGAACATTCATACGGTTTAGTTGAAATAATCTTTAAACTGATGATTTAAACCAGATATGTGGTCAATTTATTTGTAAAAAATATAGGCCACTTGTGAGGGGGTTGCCACCAGTAGGCCATTTGTTCTTGCCACATATCCTCTGGAAGGCTCATTGGAGATGTAAGATGTGGGCCTCAGGCAAGTGACAAAAGGGATAGCAGGCCCAGGTGAAGAGGAGGTACAAGGATCTGGGCAAGGAGACAAGAGCCAAGGTCAGCAGACAACCACAGGGGATAAAGGAAGGGGAGAAAGAGGAGGAGTAGGCAGGCTAGACAGAAATGGAGATAAAGACAGATGGTCTCCAGAACCCTCGAGCCTGAGGAAGAGGAGAAAATATGGGGAGAAGTGGCTGAAGAGGTAGACCCTGTCTTTTCTGCATCAGGGGTCATTGATTATGACTATGTCAAGGGCCCTTGGACAGGACCTTGGCCCAAGTGGTACTTACCTGGAGGAAGGGGACATAGGAAAAGCAATCTCAATCTGGAGCCTCCAAGACCATCCCTGCAACTGACCTGCCAGTAGAAGTCTTGGCATCTGGCAGGGCATCCTTTCCACACCCTGACCCAGATGAGATGTTGGAGGTGCAACAGGTGAAAAAAGCAGCAGCAGCAGCAACTGCCAAATGCTCTATTTATGCACATAGAATCTGAAGGAGTAAATTCAGGAATGAAACAAAGTGAAGTTGCACATACACTCTTTCTGATTGTTACATATAAATCAAGAACCAAACTGAATATTTGAAATATCAGTGGCGACATATTAGGATGCTGCAGCAAAATAAGTGTCTGCCAATGTGAGTAATCTGAGTTGTAAGCATCAGATTCATTAGAAAATTAGCTGTTGTGGAAAAAAATGGATGTAATCTGTTCAGACTGACAATGAAATGTAACAGCAACATAATATGCTGATTCCTCAGAAAGGTGCAGAAAACTGCTTTGTGGACCTCAGCTGGCTTGTGAAAGATAACATGATCCCAAAGATAACATGATCCCTTGAGCCTTAGGTTCAAAGGTATGAAATGCTCAAGGAAAACAGGAGCTTGGCTGATTTCAGCAATAGCAAAGTGTTTTGCCACCTTTTACATCCATAGAGTGACAGGTAAAAGAATTGCACAAACCACGATTTTTAAACGGGTGTAATCAGCTAACACAACAGGCAAATGCTTCACTGTAGCCAGGATCAGCATCTTCTCCAAATACCAGGTGTAATGATGTCAGATGCAAATTATTTCATTAAAAAGTTAACCAAGATTATACAGGCTTGAAAATGAAAAATGCATGGGTGAAGTATGGAGCTTAAAGGGGAAAGGTGGTGAGGATGTCACAAATACTGCAAGAAACCTTAGGCCCAATTTATCACTTGGGAGAATGAGCTCTCGTTTCTCCAGTTTCGACACAAACCACCACTCGGAAACAGGAAGAAAGCTGTTTTTTTGGCTTCTGGTGATGATGCTTTCAGTCTATTGCAGGAGGACCTACTAAATATCTTCCAACATGACTAAGCATTTGGGCACATGGCATTCTTATAAAACAGTTATGGAAACATCTTTACCCAGGATGTGACTAATGCATATCTACAGGCATCTGTTTTCTGAATTGATAATTCCTCTGTTCTAGAATTGGATATGTGGTTCTCATTTACCTCTCAGTCATGTTGCTTGGAAAATAATTTAACCAGCATTATTCCTTTGCTCAGGCTCATTCTATTTTTCAGGGTAGAGGGCTGACATTGGCATAGATATAGATGTTTGTTGTGCCTTTTCTCTGGCACAGGAGTTTTATCCATTAAGAGACTGTATTACATTACCACAGGCACTTGGGAGCTAGGATTTTTGATCAAGTAACTTGGGGATTGTGATGCAAGGGAATGTAGTGTACACACAGTTGGAGCATTACTTTGCTCTGGCATTGGTCAATATCCTATTTCAATGCTCCACCTGCACAGTAGAAACGATGCTGCTACCACCATAAGCAAACAGCCACTAATTAAAGAGTTACTTTTTCAGTGGGCAAGGGAAATGTGACTTGCATGCAATGAGTCAATGTTGTGTGCACCCTAAAATTGAAAAAGGAACCCTAAATAGCAATCTGTCACTGCTGCTGAGCTCTGCAAGATGATACTAGCTATTGATTATAAAAGATAAAAATCCAGTCCTTTGTAACAGGATATAGCAAAGATGGAATTCAGTGGAAACCACACTTCCCTTCATGCTCCGTTCCATATTCCATGTATGAAAAACTGAATTTCTCATCCATAGAATGAAAAAATTGAACAAAAGAGGCTGTTCTGGAAGTTCTTTCAGATTTAGTGCATTACTTGAGTGATGCAGACAGCTAGGTACAGATGGTGAGTGGGTACTCATAAGCCCTAAACAATCTTCTGCACCACTGCTTAAATCAAACTCCCTCACTGTTATGCCATAGGGCCTGTGAGCTCCAAATCATGTTACAATCCATCATATGATGGATTCTGCTGATACTGCTTGATACTACAAGCTGTCTGTTGCCAAACAATTTTTTTGCACCTTTGTTGAAGAAATTTCCAGAAAGAGTACCAAGAATGATTTCTGATTATTGTAGATTGCATTTAATGAAAAGAACTCCATATTACAGCTGTGCCTTTTTCAAGTTCCTACTGTGATTAATGTACTTTGTGAAAAATGTAAGGCAGGATTATCTGGGAATAATTTGTTTGCTAATGGAATATTTTATTAGGAAAAACAACTGAATGTTTTGTGCATTTTCCTACATACATTTCTAAGGAAAGTTTGTACTACAGTTTTTTCAGAGCCAGATTATTATTAGTCAATGTTTGAAGATTCCTGTCTTTTACCTGAAAATACTTCTGCACAGGTATGAAACACCACAATTTTTATACATGGCTGCATCCATCTGTACATCACATGCAGCTGTGAAAACTTCAGGGTCCTTAAGCAAGATGAGAGAATCTGCCGGGTCCTTTCGATCTTGCCTACTTTTCCTACACATTTGGATAATTATCTGAAGGACACCCCATGGATACACATACATAAATTTGACAATATCCCAAGATGATATTATATGCAGTATTACAGAAACAATCAATTTGAATAATCCAGGTGGTAATTTATCCTAAATATCCACCAATAAAAATACAAAATAAATTAGGGGATAAAGATGAACCCTCCATTTGTATTCTGTGTATTTTTAGAAGGAACGTTTATATGGGAACAATCCAAACCAATCACTGACCAGAATTCAGTTGCTCAGCCTAGCAAATCACACTAGAGTAGACCCACTGAATCAATGGGGATTTGGTGCCACCTTCTCCATAAATTCCGGATTCAAATGAGTTTATTCTAACTGTAATGTTCTTTAGCATAGTAGACTCATTTGAATCCATGGAACTTTTGGAGGAGTTAACTCACTAGATGCTCATTGATTCAATGGACCTATTCTAGTGTGATTTCCTATGGTAAGCAACACATCACTCCTACAGTGCTTGCAACACCACACTATTGTATTTTCTATATGACTGGTAACATATGTTTTAAAAACAATAGCTGAGACATGGTTTCTCATTGTTTTCAAAGCATACATAGCTACTGTTATTGTATCATGTTTCAATTTCTCAACAAGTACCTGAAACTCTATTATGATAAGTCTTGATCATAAAAAAATAACCCGAGAATACAAATTTTGACTCTTAAACATCCATGCACGTACATGGGACTTATTTTAATAGACTGAGCTGTCTGCATTCTCCTCTTTGTATATGCAGACTTGCCCTCCTACCATGAAATAGTGAGAAAAATTCTGCAAGTGAAGGAGCTTCATATAATTATCTGAAAGCCACAGTCAGTACCACAGGTCTAAAAACAGTTGTCTTTCCTCACTATCTTTAATCTTCATCCTCAAAAACCATTTGTCTTGCAAAATGGTTACATACTATATGGACACATCCAGCGCAATTATAATATTTTTAGATGCTATTAGTTCTTTGGCAAAAACAAAATTAGCAATACTTCCCATTTTAAAGAGGAAAATATTTACATGAAACAAATGTATAGTTAACATTAATGACAACAGATTTGGCTAACAAAATGGGGACCAGAAATCATTTGGAAATGAAAAATGTAAGATATAAATCTTGACCATAACAAATTTCAACCAAAACCAACCATTCTTCTTTTAATAATCTAATTACAACAATTATTTCAATCAAAATCAATCACTTAAAACCCCCGTAAAACATTTGATGCAAGGGGAAATAATGTATGTGACCTATATTGCTATGTAAAATAAATACAATGAAAGGTATATACATAATTCCACTGGATTTGATCTAAAGGTGTTTTTTTTATTTGCAGAAGATTTCCAGCAACAGAAAGGGTGTATTTTCACATATATCTGTTCTAGAGGATCAAGTAATCCTCCAGAACTAAAATGGGATATGGCACAGTTAACCTCCAGAAAGCTTGGGGAAATGGTGGAAAGTGCCTCCTCATTGCCATTTGCTAAGGTTTTCTGTGGACAGAAGGAGTTCTTCTATTTGGGAAAGAGCACCATGAGATTGCATTAACAGTGCATTTCTAAGGTTGTGATGAACAATTCTTTTCTTGAGTATTCCCTCCAGCCCTCTCAATTCAAAGAAGCTTTTGCTTTGCAAGACATCATAATGAGAAGGACAATACTTTATAAAGTATTATAGATAACGAACATTCTATAAGTAGTAGAGAAAAAGTATGAAAAGTGATAGTGAAAACATGTTGTGGTAGAAAAGCTGCAAGAGTATTCTTATTTGCAAAATAAAAATCAACTTATATATAATGTGCTCAGAAATAATTAATGGCATACAAAAGTCGACTGTCTTAACAACACTTTGTACGTACACAGACAATAGTGAATAAGTCTGTGAAGAGATTTATAGGATGTTACAAAATCATGCAGCATAAAAGCTCATACAAATTTGCCTTTTAAAGTCTACCTCCTCATACAAAAGTATGAAAGTAGTCACAGAATAGATACAAAATCAATGTTGATTCAATTTTGACAAAGTTTGCTTCCATTCCAGAACACCTCTCAGAACCGGAGTCCACAGAAACTATTTTGATTCAATCTCTTTAATTAACTCATTTATCATGTATTAAGATTCCCTTTTGCTCATCTACCCAGGCTGTATTAGAATTTTTTAAATATTCATAATGGATTAGGTGCATTTTTAAACATTCATAATGCATTAGAATGTTTTGGCTTCCTTTTACAGAGGTAATGGCAACTTGAAAGAAAAGAGTGCATAATATTAATGGCCATATGAAGATCAGCACAGCAGCTCATAATAAACCATTCTTGTTTGGTCAAGTATGGAAATCCTCCAAGATATGACATAGTCATTGAACCACACCATCCATTGTATTTTATTGCTGAACATAAATAATGACAAGGCAGAGAACAGCAACTAGTCCAAGAGCTTGTAGACCAAGAAACCAGAGCATACCCCAGAAGAACATGATAATTACTGGTTCCACAATCCGTTCTCCAAAATACATCCTTGCAAAGCCTATCCTGATTAGGCTTTTGTTGAGCTCACCAAAGAGAGTCCCCATTTTTTTATAGTCATCAATAACAGCTTCAGTACCATTGTCCCTTTCGTCTTCCTGGATCTGCAGGTAGTAGAGAAAAAAAGAGTTACAGTTTAGATAGATCTGTGCATTTAAAACATGCTAGGCTACTTAAAAAGCAGTCATGTACTGTATACAGAAATGCCATATACCCCCCTTCCACTGCTTTGAGTTATAATGCTTCATTTTTCTTCCTCTTGCCATAAATGAGCTAGAGCCTTCATTATTGATGAAATGCTGGCCCTTAGTTCATTTCTTAAAAGATTATTTGGAAAACCAAAACAATGTTCTTCCTTAATATATGTACAATTTGAAAGATGTATTCTTCCAAATGAGTTTCAAGTCTCCCTCAAAATAGCTTATGATCTGAATAATACATGTGATTTAATGAAAGAGTAGAACTCAGTCACCTTTTTTCTGTTATAAGAAATTAGTTGTTTCTGCACTTCCTAACTCCAATGCTATTGCCGCCAGAAAAGTTTCAAAAGTTCTCACAATGCACTGAGAGATATTATGGTGCTTGCACATGAGAGCAGAATACATACATTATTCACAATGAGATGCAGTTTAATTCAATGAACTTATGATGCATAAATCTATAACACACAATCACTTTCCCACTGAGCCAATGAGTCTTGGAGCAAGCTGGGAGAAGGTGGACACACTTTCCTGCAGATTTGGTTGTGGACTCTGCACCCATTCCTGGTCATGGTAAGTTACATCTCGGCTGGATGACTGTAGCACTATCCACATGAGGTTGCCTTTGGAAAGTGTTCGGAAACTCCAGCAGGTCGAAAATGCCACAGTCAGATTGTTAACTGTTTATCTTACTGCAGCTTCACTGGCTGCTCATCTATTTCTGGGCAGAATTCAAAATACTGATTTTAACCTATAAAGTGCTAAATGGACTGTGTCCAAGCTATCTAAAAGACAATAACCCGCTTTATGATCCCACTTGGGTATTATCATAAGAGGTCATAATCTTGGTCCCATCTCCCTCACAGGTGCGTCTGATGGGAACACAGGAAAGGGCCTTCCCTGTTGCTGCTCCCAGACTTTGGAACTCCCTCCCACAGGAGGCCAGGCTGGCCCCATTTTGATGTCCTTTTGCAAGCAGACAAATACCTTTCTCTTCAGGCAGGCTTTCATTTAAATGACTGATTGACCAAGGTTATTTTTTAAAGGGATTATTTTATTCTGTTGTTTTTACTTGAGTTTTTAACATTGCTCTTGTTTGTGAATTTCAAGATTTTATCTATTTAATCCTTCTTTAATATTGTAATAATTTACTGTTTAGCTTTTAATTTTGCTTCTGTTAATACTGTAAGATGCCTTTGATGCTTTGGGAGAAAGGAGGTATGCAAATATTTTAAATAAATAAACAAACATGTATCAGCTTCCAGTCAGACAGCTTGGTTTGTTTCAGCAAAGGCAACCAAGATGTATGGCTTCTTAAAGATTGAAAATTATATTGCAGCATCAACTTGTATGGACTTTTAGGACAAGCTTCATGTGAAGAACGATTTGTTATCCTCTGAATGGGAGATTATATACACAGAGGAGGAACTGTATACAGTATGACTCCAAAGCTGCAAAATACAAAAGGCTCTCAGATTCCGGCTATTCTATGTGAAGATGAAATCATACATGGGATAAGCAGTGTGATGATTCACAACAGTAACAATAGGTGCCAATACAGACTTCCTAGCGTTACCCCACTAACTTAACTGTGGAATAGGTAACTCACTGAGAATAAATTACTCTTCTGAAAATCATAGAATTTTATCAAACCTACTATAAACAAGGTTGTGTTATGCTTGGCTGGATAGGCAAAAATATAAAACATTGTTAGCTTAAATTCTGTAACAGAAATGGGAGTGCACATTTCTTAAATGCTAAAATATAACAGAAACAAGCCACAAGTATGTCTTCATATTTATGCCCATATCAAAATAAAATACATTTGCAATGCTTGAGCAGTCAGGAATGACATTTAACTCACAGTTCATGGCTTCTTTTATATCTTTGGGAAGGAAAAACAAGAATAAGCCCACAATTAAGCCGGTTATGCTGACCAGAGATAAGGAATAAATTAACAATTAAAAGCACAGCAGCCACTGAGCAAATAACTGTATCAACTATTACAGCAATAAACATTCAAATATGATGCCAAGCATATATTTTCCTCCTGCCCAAGAGTTTGCTTTCTGTCGTTACGGCAACTGAACATTTAAGTAGTAACCCAGCAAATATTGCACAGAACTGGAGGCCAGTTCAACCAGAACTTTGTGAAATGATTCCTAAAATAAAACCATTTTCTGGAAAGCATTATATAAAACAGGAGCATATATACATTATACTAATTTAAATTAAGGAACATTAGAGAAAAAGAATATCCGTGAGACTTGCAGGTCCACGACATTTTACCACCTATGAAACCGTTGCAATTTCTAAAACAGTTACCCCACATTTATCTATGCTGCAAGGCAGGTTCCTTAGAAGAGCAGACTTTGTGTGGAAAAGGTACTTGGAGCTGAAGAAAAGGAATCGGCAGAATATGGGATTTCTCCTTGAATTATAAAAACTGCGTTCTACTGGTAAAAGGGCTCTTTGGACACCATGCTACATGTGAGGATGTAATGAATACTAGTCTTCAGTGAAAAATAGAGTGCTAACACCTTCAGTTGCATCCTCCTTAAAAAACTGTCAACCCCTGCAAGCATTTTTGCTTCTGTGTAACAGTGAAAAAAACCCTGAGCTTTTTTGTCAGCACCAGCATTAGTAAGGGGTAGATTTTGCTAAAAAATCACCTATGTATTTTGTGCTATTTTACATAAAACCTGTGTTTTGCACAAACATGAAAACTCAAAAGTTTTTATGCAGAAAACAGGTTTTATGCACAGAAACCAATTCCAGAAATTTTTTTCCAAAAAAGATTCCAAAAAACAAGAGTCTCCCTCAAAAACTTCACATAAACTTGTTCAGCAGGATTTTTTTTTTAAAAAAGCTTTCATTCTCACCTGTATAACCACCCAGAGTAGTCTGGTTGCCAGATGGTCCAAGGTATAAATCCAATAAACAAACAAACAAATAAAAATGAAATAAACAAGGATTTACATCCCTATCTATGTGCATGATAGTACTTTAACAGACTCAAAACTAACAGAGCAATCTCACACAGATACTGAAATCCAAGTGGTACCCAGCTGTGGTTAACTAGGAAAGGTTATGCTTTACATGCAAAGAGGAAGTTTTCCTTTCTATCCTGCCTTCAGGCACTAGTGGGGGCAAATAGGGACAGCCCTAGTAAATCTACAATAGGAAATTTTGTAATACATAATAGCTCATGAAACAAGATTTAGATTTTTTTTCAAAGATTGCTCATTTTACACTACCTGCTGGAGCCAATAAGTGCAGGTTCTGAAGTTAATTATCCCACTAAAACCTACAAGCAAAGCATGAAGGTGCATAATAATAATATGCAATAATTGTGTGCCACCAGATTAATTTTGATTTACAGCCACCATTTCCAGAGTTTTCTACGTAGACAATATTCAGAACTGGTTCACCGTTCCCTTCTTCTGTGGATGTCTTAGGACTGTGTAGTTTGCCCATGGCCACACAGGATGGATTTACTCACAGGAGACACAGTGGGGAATCAAACTCCCAGCCAGATACTTAAACCACGGAGTTATCCAGCCAGCATGAGAGTGCACAAATATTTAATAATCTTTAGTCCTCAAGCAGGGGAATAGAAAGCCTTTAAGTACAAGATTCAAAAGAAGTGGTTATTATACAAATAACCTTTAAAAACCTAAATATCTTCACTGTGTTAATCTCTCTGGTTAATTACAGTTTGAACTGTTAAAACTTTTTGTCAGCCTGAAGCAGATTTACATGCTGTGTATTTCTGTTACGCCTAACTTAACAACTACTGTCTCAGAAATGCAACTGTAGCATTTCAGTTGCATTTTATAAAGGCTTCTGCTCTGATGACTTTATTTACCTCACAGGTTAGCTTTCCTGTTCTCCAGATATTACAAACTTTAAACAGATTGTTTGAGGTTGTTTCCTAACATATATTCTTATAACCTGGATAGAAAGTAATGATATTTAGGGCTCCTGAATACATAAACTTAAATTCAGTTATCATAAAATGGCTAACAAAGGTAATTTTTGTTTCTTCTTTCAGAACACAGCGCTGAGAGGGGACAGGCCCTCTACTCAGACAGGAAAACAGAACAAAAGAAAAACAGGATAACTGTCAATAGCTGGTTCCTGAAGAGCAAAAAACTTAATGGTTTATTTTACATGGAGAGGCATCAGTTTTAAGCACTGCAGAAATACACACTGGAATATACTTTCTTTTTTGTGGATTTTCTGTGGGGTGTGGCACCTACCCAGGTTCTGTAGAAAAAGCAGTTTTTTGAAATTTAATTCCAAGGGTGAAAAGCAAGTGGGGACTTGGATATGTTTGTTGAATGGCATCCATCTTCTCTTTCAATATACTGAGCTTGAAGCCGTCTCACACCCAGTAAGGATGAGATGTGCGGAAGGGCAAGCCCACTAGAACTTTCATATCCATAGCAAAATATTCACAGCTGTATCCAGAGAATGATGATCCTTCCTGGAGCCATCATCAGAGAGGTTTTCAAGAGATGTGATTTACTTGTGTGGAAGCAGCTATTCATCCAGCAGATGGCTTTATTCCTTCGTCTCTGGAAGTCAGTCCCTTCCTGATGCTACTCCACTGAGTGTAAGGGGCTGTGCCTTGTTTATGTTAACCACCTCATCAATTAAATCAAAGGACTAACTAGTTCATTATGGCACATGCTTTTGCAAATTACTCTTGCTGCAGCTTGACCTCATCAGTTTCAGTTACCAAGTCTGCAGACTGAAAAACGGAGCAAAGGATATGTAAAGAAACCAAGACTTTGCACACATCCCTCTTGCATACAAGACAAAAGGAAGAATTAGTACACAAAAAGAAACACTGCCTGCAACATGCCTAGAGCTCCTTTACTTAGTTGCAGTACCTTCAA